GATGCAGAGTGGGTCATGGGGGCTCTGTGTGCTAAGTTTGGTCTTTATCAGTCATTGGATTAGGGTCGCAGTAGTTTCAGTAAGTGAGTAAAGGTACTGCAAATCCTATCATCCATGATCAACCCTCCTCCAAACAGTATTGAGATGTAGAGTGGGTCATGGGTGCTCTGTGTGCCAAATTTGGTCTTGATTGGACATTAGATGAGGGTTGCAGCAGTCTTGGGAAGGGAGTGGAGGTACTTGAAGTCCCATCATCCATGGTCTGTCCTCCTCAAATGTGCACCAGGATGTAGAGTGGGTCATGGGAACTCTGTGTGCCAAGTTTGGTCTTGATCCGTCATTGGCGAGGGTCTCAGTGATCTCAGGAAGTAAGTGAAGTGACTTCAAGTCCCATCATCCATTTCCATATTTTTCCAAACTGCACCTGGATGTAGAGTGGGTCATGCGGGCTCTCTGTGCGAATTGTGATCCTGATCCATCACTGTTGGCAGTTGTAATGGTCTCAGGAAGGGAGTGCAGGTATTGCAAGTCCCATCGTCCATGGTGCATCCTCCCCCAAACCGCACCAGGATGTAGAGTGCGTCATGGAGACTCGGTGTGCAAAGTTTGGTCTTTATCGGTAATTGCATGAGGGTTGCAGTGATCTCAAGAATTGAGCAAAGGTACTGCAAGTCCCATAATCCATGGTCCATCCCCGGCCAAACCACACCAGGACATAAAGTGGGTCATGAGAGGTCTATGTGCCAAGTTTGGTCCTGATCAGTCATTGGATGAGGTTAACAGCGGTCTCAGAATGTGAGTGATGGTACTGCAAGTCCCATCATCCATGGTTCATCCTAATCCAAACTGCAGTAGGATGTCGAGTGGGTCATGGGGGCTCTGTGTGCCAAGTGTGGTCTGTATTGGGAGTGTTCTGACTCAGCCCCCGGCCTTTCCTTTCCTCTCTTTATCATCTCGGAATCTTGGAATTGAGGCTGGCCAATCAGAGACCATATGCAAATTTCCTTCTCATGTCCCTGTTTCTGCCATGAACTCTTTTCTCCACCAGGGGCTCCTATTGAAGCTGGCCAATCAGAGACCATATGCAAATAGCACCACTGGGGCAGCCAATCAGAATGTTGGAACTTTCAGGCTGGCCAATCAAAACGCTGGCACATACTCCTCCCGTCGCACCGCCACACTTTTGTCCGCCGCATACAAACTTTCACCTTTATTATATACATAGATTAATCGCCCTCCATCCGAGAATGCTCTAGGCAATTTGCAGCTAAATTGTAAAATATAAAAGACATACATACAGAAATTAAAAATTAACAGAGATCGAATGCTCTAGTAAAAAGCCAGGTCTTAAGTACTAGAGTAAAAAGCCCTAAGTCACGCATGGCTCTCATATAGGGTGGCAAGGAATTCCATAAGGCAGGGGCAGAAATAGAAAAAACCCTGTGCCTGGTCCTTTCCAAGTGCACTTCTCTAGGTCCCGGTATATAGAGTAAGTCACATTGGGCTGGTCGTTGTGACCTCCGACGATGGGAGAAGGAGAGGCGGTCTCTAAGGTACGATGGACCCTGGCCGTAAAGAATTTTAAAGGTCAGAACTAACATCTTATACAGGCCACGGTATTCAATTGGAAGCCAATGTAAATGTTGCAGCACTGGTGTTATATGGCATTTCATGGGCGTTCTTGTGAGTAACCTGGCTGCTGCATTCTGAACAATACGGAGCTTTCGGGTCGTAGACATCGGAAGGCCAACATACAGGGCGTTGCAATAGTCCAGCCTAGACATGACCGTGGCATGGATGACAGTTGCCAGAGCCTCGTCAGATAGATAGGGTGTCAGGTATACCGCTGGGTCTTAGAATGAAGCACACACTCACAAGGGCAAATCCTGGAAATGTAGTTTAT